CGTGTCAACTTCCGATTGGTTCGTTCAGAGGCTGTCTCTACAAATTACTGTAAAACGGGTGAACAAGTTCTTTCTCATAAAGTTCACCACCGTCTCTGATTCATTGGTTGGTAATGCGGCTGCCTCCACCCACTTTGATACATAATCGACAACAATGAGAATGTATTTGTTGTTGTAGGATGATGGGAAAGGACCCATGAAGTCTATACCCCATACATTAAACATCTACACCTCCAAGATTAGTGTTTGTGGCATCTCCATCATAGATGAGATATTACCTGTTCTTTGGCATCTATCACATGCAGCAAAGTTACGTGCATCATGAAATAAAGAAGGCCAATATAAACCCGATTGTAAGACTTTTGTTGATGTCCTTTGAGGTCCGAAATGACCTCCTGCAGCTAAGCTATGACAAAAGTTGAGTACACTAAAGACTTCATTCTCAGGAATGCAACGTCGTATCATAAGTTCGGCATAATGTTTATACAAGAATGGGTCATCCCATATGTAATTCTTTGAAATAGTGATCAACTTCTTGCGTTGTTGGTAAGACACTTCAGGAAGCTTGCCTGTTGCGAGGTAGTTTGCAATATCAGCATACCAAGGGGCTACCTTCGTTATTATGGCAAAGAGTTGCTCATCGGGGAACGAGTCATCGATATCCAAATTGTCAATTGGAAGTGATTTTGCTTCCAACCTTGAGAAATGGTCGGCTACCAAATTCGCCGAGCCTTTCTTGTCACGGTTTTCTATGTCAAATTCTTGCAAAAGAAGAACCCAACGAAGTAGCCTCGATTTGGCTTCTTTCTTAGAAGAAGGTGTTTGCATGATCAGTGTACACAATGGTTTTTGAGCCCATTAAATATGATAGAAACTTCTCAAATTCATATACTACAACAAGTAATTCCTTCTCAGTTGTCGCATTATTCATTCGTGCATCATTAAGGAGTTTACCTGCATAGTAAATGGCATGTAACTTCCCTTCTTTCCGCTGGCCCAAAACAACCCCAAGTGCATTATCACTAGCATCAAACATTAATTCAAATGGAAGATTCCAATCGACTGTTGTGATAATGGGTGCGGATGTGAGCTCCTTCTTAAGCTTGTTGAAAGCCTGCAAACACTCATCAGAGAAGTTGAAAACATTGCCTTTAGATAACAATTCGCATAAGGGTTTAGTGATCTTAGAAAAATCTTTAATGAACCTCCGGTAAAAACCGGCATGTCCTAAGAAACTTCTAATCCCCTTCACATTGCTAGGTGGGGGAAGTCGTTCTATAACTTCAATCTTGGCCTTGTCAACCTCATTCCCCCTAGCTGAAATGCGATGTCCAAGTACTATATCTTCTGTCACTTCTCCCAATTAAAGACTAAATTGGTCGCTTCACATCGCTGCAAAACCTTAGACAAGTTAGCTAGACAATGTTCAAAATTGGTACCAAATGTTGAGAAGTCATCCATTAAAAATTTAAGACTTGTTTCTATCATGTTGGAAAACATAGTTGTCATGCATCGTTGGAAAGTGGCCGGTGCGTTGCACAACCCAAATGGCATTCTACGGTATGCGAAAACTCCGTGAAGACATGTAAAAGCTATCTTCTCTTGGTCCTCCGGTGCAACTGGAATTTGAAAATAGCTGGGGTAGCCATCTAAAAAGAAATAGTGAGAATGACCTGCCAACCGTTCAAGCATTTGATCGATGAAAGGAAGTGGAAAGTGATCCTTTCGAGTTGCCTCATTTAACTTCCTATAACCGTTACAGACACGCCATCCGGTGACAGTTCGAGTTGGTATGAGCTCATCCTTGTTATTTCTCACCACGGTCATTCCACCTTTCTTTGGGACAACCTGCATAGGACTCACCCACTTGCTGTCAGAAATAGGGTAAATAATTCCTGCATCTAATAATTTCATTAACTCCTTTCTCACAACTTCCTTCATATGTGGATTGAGTCTCCTTTGGGCTTGGATTGAGGGTTTGTAACCCTCCTCCATGAGTATCTTATGCATACAAAAAGTTGGACTTATACCTGTGATGATGGCAGTAGTCCATCCTATAGCTTTGATATGTCTTTGTAAGATTCTCAAAAGCTTAAATATGCATATTCGAGGTCAGCCTAGTTATTCTGTTAACTTGAAAATTCGTTAGTATATACTAACTAATATCCAAAATATGTGAACTAATATCCAAGTCTGCTGAGTATCTAGATAACACATACTAGTATTCAAAACATCACAAACTAGTATCCAGATAGCAGATACCAACTAATATCCACAATCAACCAACTAGTATTCAATATGGATACTCTTATGTGTTATCTGGATACTCTTAAGTGTTATCGGGATACTAATTATGTGTTATATGGATACTATTATGTGTTGTCTAGATATTAGTTTGTGAATTTGGGATAATAGTTGATTCATGGTGGATATCAGTTAACAAACTTTGAATACTAGTCTGTGCTCTCTAGATACTTTAGTACTTGGATACTAGTTCATGTATTTTGGATATCAGTTAGTATCTGCTAACGAATTTTCAAGTTAGCAGATTAACTTTCTCCATTCGAGGTGACTAGGTAATGGATTTTGCTCTAGCTTTGGTGGTTGAATTCTTGATGGAACTAGTGTCTTGCTAGTTTGAACCTCCCCTTCGTCCTCAATTTGCATTGGCAAAGCCTCAAGCAATTGTGTCCTTTTTGGCACGGTAAGCTTTTCATTTTGAAGATCATCATCAAAAGCATCAAGATCAGAATCAGAATCATTATTAAGAACATTCTCAGTACATGATTCTATCACATCCATAACACATACATGATCATAAGAGTCAGGATACTTACTTGATCGGTAAACATTGAATCTTACCTCTTCTCCACATACTCTGAAGGTAAGTTCTCCCTTTTGGACATCTATAAGTGCGCCACCTGTGGCAAGGAATGGTCTTCCAAGAATGAGAGGCACCTCCCGGTCTTCATCCATCTCTAAGATCACGAAATCTGTCGGGAAGCTGAACCTTCCCACTTTGACTAGCATGTTCTCCACCACAACTTTTGGAATCTTCACTAATATGTCCGCCAATTGGAGGGTGATTCGCGTTGGTTTAATCACATTTCTCAACCCCAATATGTTGTAAACTGAACAAGGCATCAAGTTGATCCTCGCTCCAAGATCACAAAGGGATTTAGTGAAAACCTTATCTCCAATGGTGCAAGGAATGGTGAAGCTCCCCGGATAGTCTCTTTTCTCCGGTATTTATTTTGAATCACATCACTACAATCAGAGGTGAGGGTTACCTTCTCAATATCGGATCACTTGCGCTTCTTTGTGAGTAACTCCTTCAAGAATTTGGCATAGGTAGGCATTTGTTTCAATGCTTCCGCCAAAGGTATGTTGATATGAAGTTGTTTGAAGAGATTTAGGAACTTTTTGAAGTTTGGGTCTTCCAAGAGCTTCATCAACCTTTGAGGGAAGGCTGCAGGTGGTTCATAAGGTTTAACCACCTCATCTTTTGTTTTTTTCATGTTTTGGAGGTGCAGTTGACGAATGCATGTGCAATGGCAAAGTGCTTGCATTCTGACCCTACACATCTGCTTTTGCATTTTCTTCAGCAGAGTTTTCTGCATCTTCCCCATGAGTGGTTGCTTCTTTTCCTTCGGATCTTCTAACTCCTTCCCGCTTGTTAAAGTGACGGCTACCATCAAATGAATGAAAATAAAAGAAACGGCTTGATAATAATACAAGTACGGAAGGTTTAAACGGATAAAATATGCACGAGTACGTATACGTGTATTAAACGGAGAATTTACTATCTATGCTTATCTAGGCTAATTATAGGGAGAACTTTGAACTGTAGGTTGGGCCAAGTGAATATTGGGGCGTAAGGCTTCGTGAGCTTATGTAGCGTGCATAAACTGATATCTTGTTTGTGGGAGTCGTCAAGTCCATCAGAGACAACTGGCCCAGTAACCTTTTGTTCCACACTTTGGAGAGGTGGGATATAGGACTCTTGATTTATAATCTCGTTATTATGAATCGTTATTATGGACAAATGGATTGAATCTATAAGTTCGTAGATTGAAATGGATGAATCTATAAGTTCATAGATTGAATTTATAAATTTGTAGATTGGATTGGTGAATTTATCATATCATACACATGGGTGGACTATTTCTTTCTTTTTTCTTTCATCTCATGTGAGATTGAATCAAATGAATTTATGGATTGATTCGTTGGTTCAAATGATATCTAAATTTTAGATCTTGTTCTTATGAAAATTCTGAAAGTTTGGAACCAAAATGTCATTAAAAAAGCTTAAGTTTTGAAAAAATTATTTCCATTAAAAAAAATCGAAGCTTAGGTATTAGATTGTATAGCATAAAGTATAAAGGTTCTAAAAAATATTTTTCAACAATTTATGAAACCACCCATCAAACAGTTCCAACAAATTTGAATTAAATGGATTGGACTAATTGATTATTTTTGTGAATGGATTGAATTGATAGATTAGATTCAAATGGTTTTGGTTGCTTCTACTTGCAATAATAAATGCCTTATCAAGTTGCAAACATAAATGAATTTTAAGCATTGTACATAGACTTGTATTTCCTCCTTAAACTAAGTGTATCTCGCTTCACTGTATAAAATATTATGAGAAATGATAAGAGTACAAAATCCGGAACTACTAAATCTACAAAACCACATATCTTACGACGTCTGATATGGATCATACCATCCTGATACGATCGTATTAGGGAATAATATATTTCATATCAGAGTTGGTACGTAAGACGCGAGTTCTATAAGTTTTACAGTTCATGAATGTTGTACCACATGCCATAAAATATAAAAGAAAAATACGTGAATTTCAGACTCATCGACTTCATTATCACAATAATAGAACTCATTTGGCGACCAAGCATCTAAAACATTATGTGATTAGTTACAATAATCCCGTTTGACTTAGTTGAATCAAACTAGATGCCTAGATTTCTCGATTATCACAACTCAAACTTGTGGGTTAGAGGAACTCCCATTAGAAGAACTAGAGGCCATATGAGGTTTGTTTACCATCATAGATGTATAAACAAAAGAGGACTGTGGTGACCACAGTCGCGGCCCTTGTCCTCAATTGTCTTCTATTTTGAACTCCAACATACATGCCTGCCTCCTTCACTTTGCTCCAGAGGATTGGGGAATGGTTCACTACTATGCCTCTCTTACCTCAACCACACCACAGAGGGGACTAAGCCTAAATAGTACCCTGTTCAGGAATCATAAGATCACGGATTTCACCATCACATCCTATGAATTCAAGCTTCATTCACAGCATCAGCTTCCATGGAGTCAGCAAAAGTATGCACATTGCACATCTATCTATGGATATTGGCCTGAACTGAAACCGAAAACTGAACTAGACCATTCTCCCACTCTTGAGTGGCTTGCTCGCAAACAGATCCTACCTAGAAAGGAGAAGCCTTTGAACCAACCCAGATGCTATTACCCTTTGTAGCTAGGGCATTCACTCTGCAATATCTCATTCAAATCGTAAACATAAACTACAGAAGCATCCTCGAATTACACTAGGTTTCACTCACCACACAAAGAGAAAAACCACGAATTGGCCATTCTAGATGTAACAATTCAAGAAGCATTCATTCTTTAGAACTGATTGAACTCGACAATACACCAACTCCGCATGAAGTTTCAACTAAAGCTCACTTTGGAATTATGTATTCATTCTCTCAAGTGTCAACATATAAAGTCATAAACGACGGTAAATTGATTCTCCTTAGCCTATATCTATCTATATGAGGTTCTTTCTAGGGTTTCAATCGAAAGAAAATAAAACCTAAAGAAAAGCAATTAAGAGCGAAATCGAAGACCTTGGATGGAGTAAACGCAGCAGCTAAACATCATTTGGGCTTCGGTACTTCTCCTCGACGACTTTGGCGGTGAAGAGGGCGGAGTGGACGACCTTCTTGATGTTAGGAACATTGTAGTTTTGGGCGATGTAAACCCCACACGTCGTGCCGACGAGGAAGGAGAAGTAGCTTCGAATTAGTCCCATCGATCAGCAGCCCGATGGATTGGTGAGGAGAGGGGAGAGACGGTAGTTCGAATCGGCCGGCGACACAAAGATCTGAGCTTCTGTACAATGTACTCGTGGACACGGGAGTCTAGGTCGAGTGGCGGTGACGACGGAGTCTCCGGCGGCGAAGAACGAGCAAGGAATCGGGGGATCTGAAAGGGCTTAAGAGGGATGAAAGAAAAAAAGGCTAGTACACTGTACAAGTAATCAAACGGAGCCGGGCCGCTTACTTACTTCCGGCCCACTCCGCAGTCCTACCGGCAAACAAACTGCTTGCTCTATCCTTTTTTTTTTCCTTCATTTTCCGCCTTTGTTTTGTTGACACGTCTTGTTTTCAATTATTTATTTATTTCGATTTCCCGCAAAAATTGATTTCCGTCCCGTCCCCCTCTGTAAAAGTAAAAACAATAAAAATTTAAAGGGGCGGCTTTATCTGATTTTTTTTAATTATCTTCTTCACTTTTATCTCTCTGATTCGGCACCGACGCCGTGCCACTTCCTTCATCGTCATCTTCTTCCCTCTTCGTCTTCCGTCTCCTTCACCGGGAATAATTAAGGTCATTCTCATTTCCCTCTCCCATTCCTTTCTCTGCGTTGAGTGATTTTCCCGACGGGTTGTTTGTTTCCAGGGAAGAAAGAAAAGAACGGGAAATTCAAACTGTGTTGTGATTGTTTGTTGCGGGTTTTTTCTGGGTGTATCGGCTACGCTTAGCTCGGTTTCGTTGTCCGGTTGTATGCGCTGAATTGCAATTTAGGGTTCGTGTTTCTGGACCGAGTCGCCGTGGTGGATTTCATTTTCAAATTTCGCATTGATTCTTGTGACGGAGTGAGATTGATCCGAGCTGTGGAAATCAATGCACGTTTGACTTTGGAACTGAATTCTGGGTGCTAATCACGAAGATTATTGATCGCCTTCTAGTTTGGATTGGCGGAGTAATTTCCATCCCAATCGGGTCATGATACAAGTATCGCCAGCTTTTTCGTGCTTCATCGTTCTGTTTCTAGCTCGTAGTTATCTTGAATGAATTCTTGATGGGCCTTGGATGCTACTAGTTAATCACTGCTCATTTTTTTATGGATTAATCGCTGCTCATTACTAGTGTGTTTTTCGTGCAGCGAGTTTTTTTGGAGTACTTTATCTCGGGAAATTGGTGTTTCGTGGTTTGAACTGAATAGTCTATACGATCAGCTTCATCTCATTGTAAGGTTGACTTGAGGAACCCCTGCTGATGAAGTGTTCACACGGAAGTTGATAAATTGAGCTGTTCCAGTAGGGAGACTGTTTAGATTGCCTGATGGGTGTAAGCTATTTAGCGATTTCAGTAGGGTCTACTGCTTTGAGCTTTGTAGGTCTCCAGTATCAGGCAGAGCTTTCGTTGGATAAACTACGATCCAATGGGTTGATTGAGGAGGGTTCTGTTAACCTAGTAAATGCCAACGATGCCATGGGGTTGCTATTTGGTTCTTACGCCACCACCGCATTGCTGGCAAATTTTCTGTTCAACGTGTTTATTCTGGTCAACCTTTGCCTTAAGGTAAGCTTCGTTATCTGCCAACCCAGCATACAGCTATTAAAGTGGTTTAGTAATGTATGATTGGCTCGAGGGAGGCAGACTGGGTCATCTCTAATTTGTAGTGGAATCAGGCATGTAGAAGTAGCTAAAGCATGTACGAAACGTGCAATAATGGTTGTGCTGTGTTACTGCATTTAAATCCTACTAAATTAGCAAACAATATGTGATCTATAAGTTGAAGTTTATAGTTTTCTTCCGAGTGGTCTCTGCACTCATAGATAACGTAGTTGGTTCCACTTTCATCTTGTTTAGTGGAATGATTTCTAGTGAGTTTGACAAACTCTCAAGCCCATTTTCTTAGTGGCATTTACAAACATCAGTTGTAATTCTTATATGATCACTGATTGCCTTTTTGACAGCACTTACATTATGTGTATATGACATTTCAAGCCTTTCATATTATCCTTACTTGAATTTCTGTATGCCGCTATCCATGTGGCCTTAATATAAATACTACTTCAATCATCTAGTCACATCATGAGGCTAAATATAACAGCTTTCGGAAGTTGCTGGATGAACTTGATGACTCTGGTTGGTTAAAAAGGGAATGCAGCTCCTTTCCTTGTCCATGATGATTGAGTTTATGTTGTGGTATTGATTTTGCATTGCAGAGTATCTTCTTTGCGGACTTGTACCCTTCTGAAACTCGGAAACTTGTAGAACGTCTTGTAAACTATGTTATTTACAAGGTAAGCTTACATAATGATTTTTATTTGGTAATATTTTACCATGTGGATATGTTGCACTTTGAGTCCAGACTGTACTCCTAACTGGCAAGTATTTTTCTTTGTGTCACAAATCAAGGACAAGCCTTCCACCGCTCACTTCTCTTTTATGTGCTCGAGAAACACGAATAAGTGCTTATCTTATGATGTTTGGATTATGTTAGTTTTCATAAAGGGAAAAAGAGAATGTTGGTCAATTTGAAAAAGCTAGATATTCTGGTAGAATAATTCGATCTTAATTTATGTGGTGTTCATAATCTTTATATTTCTGTTGTTGCGTGCTTTTTTTTATGAATAATTAACAGGGAACCTTTCTACCTCTAGTTATTCCACCCACTGTATTCCAAGTTGGGTTGTGGTTGATCTGGCTGACCATTATGTGTTCTTTGAAGGTAAAAGAAAAGTATTCTATATCAGACTGCTGTTTTAAGTTCATCATCCAAGTGTAGTTGCATATTTGAAATCTTTGATGTTTTTTTTTTTTATGGTAGCAGATGTTTCAAGCTTTGGCTAGAGATCGGCTCGAACGGTTGAATGCCTCTCCTTCAGCTCAGCCGTGGACATACTTTCGTGTGTATTCAGCATTGTTGTTTGTTCTTTCTATTGACCTTTTCTGGTAATTATGCCCCCTTTCTGGAAAGAAATGCCACTGAAGTAAGGCTGTCCTAGCTCTTTGTCTCAATGACAACATGCTTACTTCGTCCTGGAGTATGTGCTTATACTAAGAAAGATAGGAATTGCTGAGCTGCAGAACAAACCCTTTCCCCATTGTTTTAATTTTTAATTTATGGTTTTAAACCATGAGTAGACTTTCATAAGCTAACATTTCAGAGCTAGCACGATTCTGCTTCAGTTGACTTACTTTAACCAGTAGAATTCTGTTTAGTTAGATATCTGGCATGTATAATAATGGGTGGTGAACTATTGTTAAGCTGAAAAGGATATGCTTGTTCTCCAAGATCTTGAATATCTAGAATATTTAGGTTGGAGTATTTTTGCTAGTTTGCCTATTGATCCCTGTTTTTCTGTGAGTTCTTTAGTTTGTCTTGATTTGCATCTGGATTGATTTTATTAAACCTTCTTTTGATGGTAACAGGATAAGGATATGCTTGGGGATTTATAAAACATTGGGTTCGCCCATGCTTCTGTTGCTATTCTTTGAACCCCTCAGCATTGCTTTTGAGACATTGCAAGTAATGTTCTGGAAAGTGCTTATTTAACTACCTAGTAATCCTGTTGCACATTTTAATTCATATGGAATGTCTTCTATGGATTGATGTGATTATCTCCTCTCTGTAGGCTATGTTAGTCCACGGATTTCAATTGCTCGACATTTATCTCCACCATTCTGCTGGTGACAGTGCTAACTGTCAAAGATTCAAGTTCTTTGATACCCTCAGAGCAGGTATACCTGTATGGATTTGGTTACCATCCAAGAGTTAATGTGTTTATTTGATTGATCTGAACTGCGACTGGCTGATTGCCATGTGCTCACTGACATTTGTAATTTGCTTGTTATGGGTGCACTTTCTAGTTCAGGTCTAAAACATGAGCTAAAACACTGACTAAACCTTAAGACGCATTAAATTTCTCAAAATCAATTTAGTAGTTCGGAGTCGTATTATTTCACAATGAAAATTAATATATTAGCAAGAATGAAATCCTTTCTACTAAGGAAGACTTTTTTCAAGAGGGGCAATTGGAATGTCTGCGGCTACCTAAAATGTTGATTTTCTTGATTCCTATACACGTAGCTGCATTACAATCTTTT